AGTATCATTGGATATGTTAACGGAAAACGTAAAGTACAGAAACATCTAGTTACGGCCTTCGTTTCAGTTTCTAAATTTTATTGGGCTTGAGTTGTATGCAATTTTTTGCCATTTTATTGAAACTGATTTGTAGAAAGAAAAAAAATGTCCATACCACAATGTCCTCCACAATTGTTTCGTTCCCTTTCTCCGCTGAATATTCTGATGGCTAACAAATTGAAATATTTCCAATTATTAATTATTACTCTCTACAGGTATAATGATCCGACATTGAAAGACAGCGCTCAACGTTTGTATGGGTCAACGCAAGGATCTTCATTGAACAGCACGAACAATCTGGTCGGCAGTTCGACATTGCTGTGCGAAAAACGTCCGACAACCAACGCAGCGCGTGCCTCGACTCTACCCCGAAACGCTTTTTTCTCGTCGAACCCGAGTTCGCCAAACCTTCAAATTTGTCCAAAACTAAAATTCGATGAACCTGTCGCCGCATATACCGCTTACACTCCTCACCATCAACATCTCATCGGTCACCACCACAATAATAATGGTCATAATTCCGACGTAGAAATGGATCAACAACAAAAAGGCAGTCAAATGTCCATATCCACGCTGTCAAACGTGGCCTCCTCAGGCTACCAGAGTTTTGCCGCGTACAGTCAGAGCTCCAGTCCGGTCGACTTGACTAACAATAACAGCGGTGGCAGCAACAAGCCACCGTCTGTTACCAATGGTAACGCTGCTCTGCCTCCGCTAGCTTTCGTTAATCCTGTTTATCAGCACCATCATCACCATCACCACCACCATCACCATCAGCGGCAAAAACAACGCCCGCGGTCATGCAGTTCTTCCGAAGACGAAAACACGACATCAGTCAACGATAAAATCACTCAAGTTGCCCCTAGGTTCTTGCCGCCCCATCACCGAGCTCCTCGCACCAATCCACAGTGCAACGGCAGTGGCGGCAGTATAGCTGCTAGATCGTTGGCTTGGAAATGGTCCCCGAGTAAAGTCAACGGAGTCGGGCCAAATTTAAAATGCGTACCTGCTGGTATGTTATAATAACTTCATAAAACAATGTTGACAATATTTTGGTTATTATTTTACATTTTTATTTTTGTATTTTAGATGTAAAAAAAGTGAACCCTGCTGAAATGCCCCTGAGGAGAAGAGTGTCTGTCGATTCCAGTCGTGGCGTGTCTGAAGATTCTAGTGAAGATGAAGACACGAGAAACCGAAACATTGCTGCAGCTAACAAATTAAAAGCCAACAGGCCCGTCGAGCAGATTAATGTGAGTAAAATGAAAGTCATACCGTAACTGTCTTTGAGTTAACTGATTGTTTTGTTTTATTTTTTCACAATTTAGTACCAAAAAGAAATCGAACGGCTACAGGCCAATGTGCAGATACTCAAGTTGAAATTGGAACAGGCTGAACAACATTTAGATTCGGGACCAGAAGACTCACCAGAAATTGTCGACAACGAACCGGACAACATGAAAAATATCATAGCAAGGTAAACCTAGTTCATGGTTCACAATAATTGCTGTTATCTATTGAAAAAAATTCAACCAATTCTCATTTGTATAATTTATAATGAGACCAAATTTTACATTTACGGCCGTTCTTACAATCTGCCATAATGTATTTATTACCTTTAATCAGCAATTATATTCGACCCAATCACTAGAGACCTTTAAAGAGAGATCTTTAAAGCTAAAGTTTCTGATATGACATTCAGGCCCTTATTTACCAAATTCTCTACCAAGAGTATATTATACCCTTATGTGCTGTCTCATATTCCGAAAGGGCAAGACGATGCGTTTTTCCTATTTTTCTAATTATTATACTGTTCAATACATCATATAGAAATAAAAATTAATTCATCGTTTTTAAATGACTAATATTTTAAAAAAGAAACACATTGTCGTGGTCTCCAGAAGATCACCAAAATTATACGAGTTCTATGCAGTCTGCATAAGGTAGATTTTGCTATACTGCTTGTTAATTGGATTAAGAGAGCACATGTGGGTGTAGCATCCTCAAAAGTCAAAAATTGCCGTTCTTCGTGAAACAAAAATTTGTGTTTTGGCTATTGAAATACTATTATTCGAAAACTATTTGGCAGCCATTGAGTAATCACGATCCTATAGTTTCAATAAACCAAAAATTTAAATTTTCTGGTTAGAGCCTGGTTAAGGGGCATCATAATCATTTTGAAGTTTTAATAACCTTGATTTACCTCTACAGGTTAATGTCTGTGGAAGACGAACTAAGACGTGAGCAGCGTAAAATGTCCGATACACTCACACACAAACAACGTGTGATTGAAGCTCAAGAACATCAGATCGCCGCTCTGGATGCTGCTAACAACAGACTACTGAATGCCCTGAGCCAGTTAAAAGAACGTTACCAGACAAATAACGGAAAAACAAATAGCCCTAGTCCAAATATCAACCGCAGGCTACTCGCCGAACTTGGCGAACTCAAGAGTTCATCTTGTTAAAAACATTTCTTCTGCTTTGAGCATCTGATAAAAGAACAGCCTACTTTTAATTATTCTTATTTGTTAATCGTCGAATGCAATCATAATTTTAATTATTATTATGTGTCGAGTATTATTAACTTTTAATGCGTTCTTGTGTGTATACATAATATTATTATTTTATATTTTTTCTGAAAAATAACTAACAGATTTAAAATTAATATATTTTCAGTCGTTTACCAATGAATTTATACAAATAGCATAAATGTTTAAGATTTTAACAACAACATTTTTTTTTTTCCTCTTATAAATAATCTTTTATTCATTATTATTATTATTAATTATAAAATATAAAATAAAAAAGGAAGAAGAAAACCTACATAGATTTTAACTATTAAATGTATTTTACGATCATTAAATTAGCCGCTAAATGTTCCTTTTATAAAAAAATTTGTACGCCGTTTTAAGGAGTATGTATTAATTTTACAAACTGTATTATATTTCGTATCTAGTGTATTTTACGATTATAATTATTATTTATTCTATTTTTTTTTATTATTATTATTATTATTTTATTTTTTTTTTTATTTTATTATTATTTACATTCTGTTAGAGAGTTTCGTTGTTGAATTGTTTAGTTTTATTTTTATTATTATTTTTTTTTTTTCAATATCGATTTGGGTATATCAAACTTTAAAACAAAATGTGTAACGGTTATTTGATCTTGTTTTATTTTTCTCTCGAGAATTAAGTTTTGTACCAAAGATTTATTATTGACAAAGCATTGTATTGATTCTAAAAGGACTGACGAATTATACAATTTTTTTCTTTCTTTTCAAGTGTCCGCATTTAAATTGTGCTTTTTTATTTTATTTCTGTGGTTTATTACCTCTGTATCTCTGTATACCATCCTCGTTCGGTCAAACTCATTTAATTCCTAAAACAGTATGAAATAACAATTTAGTAATGCAGATTATTGAACTAATTATTTGTGTTATATATCTGGCACTAAGTCTGCTCTCATCTATTTCACCTTTGTAATGCAAACACATTGGAGCCTTCCAATTACTTCTGAACACTGACAGGTTTGGTTGCATTTCAAAGTCTTTATTTTTAGTTAGTGTTTAAAAGGTGTTTTATATTATGTTTATAAGAAAAACAGAAAATTGTGGTTTAATATTGTAGAAGTTTTACTAAGTTGGTGAGTCAAACTTGAGTATAAATAAACATAGTTTTAAAATAATACCATCAGATATTTAAAAACAACAGAAAACTTCAAATCAATGAAATATGTAATTCAAATTAACTTTTTTCTTTTAGATACTTGCTATAAACAATATTTAAACTAAAATAGTAATTATTATATATCTAACTTGAATCAAACAAATTTAACTTCTACTTTTAACAAAATAAATCTTATATTTTATTGTTATGAGCTTTAAAATAATATTAAGTATAATACATTAAATTCAAATTTAAAAAATTAAAGTCCCGCATGTTTTCTACAAATCAAATTTGATTTATTAAGCTGTCATTATTTGTTTGAATACCTTGCATTTCAGGTTTTATAATTTTTCGGTATCACCCACGAAAAAGTTAATATCTACTTACCCAAGTAGGTTTGATTAAAAGTTGAAAAAGTGAGATGCAACCATAGATATAGTATAATATATATTGATACCTTTTTTGCTGGGGCAGAAGATGTCTACTTAAGACCTTTTATATTGTGCCAATTCATATTCTATGCCATAGGTACCATATTTAATTTTAATTTTATTTCATCAATTTATTTAGAAGTTTTATAGAGTGAATGAAAAACCCATGTCATTAAAATAACTAGGTACCGAACGAATCTCGGTTAACTTATTTAATATTAAATCGAAAATGTTTTCAATATGAAATAGTGATATTTAAAATTATTTTCGAATTTATTAATGACCATATCTACTTTAAAAATAACTATTATAATTAACTTTTACCAATTTGTGAATGCATAGCATTTGTCTGGCGTTTTAATAACAAGAACAACTTGTATATTACGTTAAATCATATCCAATTAATTTGGTTTTTAACGGTTCTATATGCATGAGATTTCATTTTTTGTGCATTCACTTAATTTTTATGATCGGTTTATACCATAAATTGTTTGCCTAAAATGTGTGCATCCAAAATATAACGTTAACATTTCTATTTCTATTACCAAATAATTTTTATTTTGACAGAAAGAAACTAGGTGAATGTTACCGTCACTGTCTGTCTGTTCTAATATTATATCTAAACTCAATAAAGAAACGTCTGTTACTAAAATGGTATGGGCATCTTTATTGAAATGTGTAAATACTATTTTAGGCGTGATAATAAATAAATCGCCTTGTGATGATGTAAAGTAAAATTAAACCTCTAGATTGTGCAAACTGAATGGGCCAATAATTATGCAGTTGTATAATATGTTCGTATTTTTGTAACATATAAATATTAAACTAAAAATAGGATAAATAATTAATACAAAAGGTGATTTATTTTCCAAAACATATTTATTAATAATCAATAATATATTAAATATTTAGAAGGTAATTTCAACACATATTAATATTATTATGACTAATTAAACTTGTACTGTTTGTAAGAAAATTAAACTAAAAGTTATTATATTATCAAAATGCAGATGATTTTACTTATAAAAAGTATAATAACTCGTCCAAACCAACATTCGGACTTGCTCTTAGTGACTGAGATGTCAAAAAAGCCAACTTGTGTGCCATCTGACACAAAGCAGGAACACTCACAGTACCCTAGAAAAAATAAAATAAATTCAAAAGGAACTAAATTTTTATGATTTTAGTATTGAATAATGACAAAAAAAAATACTAACAGCCCAGTTATAGTACATATGAGTAAGTTTATAAGTCAATCTTTGCATATGATCTGCTGAAATACAAGTAGTATCCTCTATAATATTATAATGTGTAGGAGACACTGTCCCAAATCTTACATTTTGCGAAACTAAAAAGAAGTCATACCTGTAACAGATAATTAAACAAAGTTACTTAAAACAAACTATTAGATATATTAGTTATATAATATTATTATAAAACATTGATGGTATATGTTTTATGTATTCTGATTTGTCTAGTCCTAGAACTAAATTTAATTTATTTTATTCAATTTTAAAGTGTGTTGTGTGTTTTACAAATGTATTAACATCACACTGTGTGAAATATACAGCAAAATTAAATTTGAATTAATTTTGCCTAGAAAACTGCCTATTTATACAACCTGAGAGATATATGCCAACCTTATAAAAAATTACTTTGGAACACATACAATTTTAAAACTATACTTGATTGTTAAAATTGATTTTTGAAGTTTCTTTATCAATTAACATTTTTAAATTAATTTCTATACCATTGGCAATATAAATCAATATCAAGGATGAAAAACTAAAAAAAAAATAATTCTACTATATTTTTTGGATGATAAAAATTCTTAGTACATTTTTCATAAATTTAACAAATTACGATATAAATTAACTATAAATTTAATTATATTAATTATAATACATCAAAATCAGACATTTCAAAACACTAAAAAAGTTTTTTTTTCAAATTTAATTAAATACTCATGTACTTTTATTCACTACTTACATTGTTGGATATGTAACAACAGTATCAATGATTGTACCCGGTGCTGGATTTCTGAAACCAGCACGGTCATTTATGAAAAACCGTGTGCTTATTCGTTTTTTCACAATAATGAAGGCCAACCCAGGGCTATTATCCTTACAAAGCACATTGCATGTTTTCTGTAAAAAATATAATTTGAATAACATTTGTATTTAAAAACAATTCACTATGAAAATTATAGACACTGACTTTAATTGCAGTTACTTCACTCTGGTAGACATGTGATATCTGCCCATCACCAACTCCATCCCTGTATACAATAATCCCTAATGGAAAACATCCATTTAGTTCTTTGTATTTCAGCATAGCTTCTAAAATAATGATAATAATAAAAAAAAAATATATACATTATTATTTTACATTAAAAAAAAAACAAAATTAGATTGACATTTTAATGTCATTCGAATAATACCATGTAAATCATTGCTAAGTAACATTTAACAGTATCAATATTTTATTATATAAAACTGTTAAATACTCTAAATAATTTCATGTTCAACAATTACAAAAAAAAAACACCGTAAGCAGCAGATCTTTGTCACTACAGACCAAATTTTCTGTTACAAAAATTTTTTTTTTTCTATTGTACAAATCAGAAAAGCTATTTAAAACCCAGTTCTCTGTGAATACGTGAAATTTGAGCATACAAATTGTTGAGGAAGGGATTAAAGTTGAAATCCCTAAAAAAAACATCCTTGATAAAGACTCCATGTCTATATAAAATTTCATACACCTGATTTCATCTGAGGGGTCTACAGGGGTAAAAGCTAAAAATGTATCTTCATCCCACCATACCAATATTGTGAAATTCATATTTAAATTCAACTAAAATTTATATCACTAATGTCAGGCCTATAAAATAATTCCAAATTAAGAAATTTTTTTCTACAGATTGAGCTCATTTAATCTAGACAGAGTTGCTAAGTTAGAAAGTATCTAAAGGTAACAATATACAAATATATATATATATATATATATACGTATAAAAATTAACAGAAATAAACACACAACAGCCCAATAATTTCTATTTTCTGGAAAAATTTGATAATAAATAATTAAATACTTAACTGATAAATTTAAAACCTAAATCGAACTTAATTAAAAACTTAAAAAAAAATAAAACATAAATACCACTTGAGCTATGGATAGGGCTTACTTAATATTAATAATACTTATTTTATTCAAATGTGGATTTTATGGGTTTAAAATTTAAGTTTAAAAGCTTCAATACATCAGAGCTCTAATTGAACATAAATGAAAATAAACAATTATTTTACTTGATATCATCTATTCTTCAGTTGTATGATAGTACTTACTAGTAATGGTGGCACCGAAAAAAGCAGACAACTCTTGTCCACTTTCATGCCGTTCAACACAACTGTAGAAACTTGTCTGACTGTCATTCATCGTGGCTACAAGAGCACCATAGGAAATATTTTTCTTCTGCTTATCATGACAAACATCAAATCCTAAGATCATGTGTTTCTGAAAAATATCGTAAATTTAGTACTACATAGTTAAAATAAATAAACTTAAAATTTTCAATCAAATAAATACAGCCAATGGAATAGCCACTTTCCAAGGTGCACCTCCTAGTTTACAATTTATTTGAACAACGATTTTGGTTACGATTGACAATTTTACTATTGAGACATGTTTCGACAATACAACTTGTGATGGAACTGAAAATAAAAATATATTTTTAACGACTAAATTAATTATATTTGATGCTACTGAATTATTATAAAATAAAACAAGTAGCAGACAAATAAATTCAAACAAATAAAAAAAAATTGGTAAGTGTTTTTTTTTTTCTAACTTAATAGTACAATAATTATTACCTGCTCTGTCAACGCAAAGTTTTTTTTTTATTAGGTTATAAATATCCGCTCTGGACGAAGAAACAATGCATAAAATAAATGACGGATTCTTTTCATTTATAATTTGTTCCAAGATCTGTGAATAATATCGAATTTGTGTGTCATGCATAAGTATCCTAAAAAAAAAAAAAAAACATACATAAATATTATACACTAGTAGAAGGTGACCATGACAAGAAAGGTAAACACTCAAAGCCAACTCAAAATGGAAAAAAAAGAACTTGTTTTGTTTTTATTAATATGCCGAGTTGTAACATGGTTTTAATAATATTATTGTTTTCTTTATAATCCAAAGCCTGTGTTATAATATTATAATGTTGAAGAAAGAAAACATTAAAAAAAAGGTAAGGTAAAGTGACCACAGTATTAAACAGCTATTGAAAAAACTATTTTTGCCCCACGAAAGACAGGTACGTTTTAACGAAAACTGGTCAGTAACGCACATCTTCCTCTCCGCCCCTCCTTTAAACCTCGTTTCTACCCAAAACACGTGAACTAGCAACGCGTGAGGAGATTCCATGGTGGTGGTGTGGTCTCTGTCAGCATGCGTGGAATGGTACTTTTCTATCGTGAGACAAACTAATGAAGTAGATTTATTTATGTTTTTGAAAACCAATAAAAATTAAACAATTCAAAGCGTAAAGGGTTTTTATCTCATATTATATTTTTATATCATTTAATTAAACATTTTTTTTAAATGAGAGCTAGAACTAGTGCCTACATATTTTCACACAACCAACAGCAGCAACAATCAAATTTTCTTCAGCTTGTCTACTATATAAAATATGACTACACACCACCGATTTATACATTGTTTTATATTATATATATTTATTGGATATACATATTTATTTAAAAATGAAAAAATTAAATAAATTACTAAATATACTTACATATCAGGATTTGGTAATCGCATTCCCATTTCATAAGACACTTTCATAAGGGAACCAACAAATTCCCGATAATCAATTCTTTCAGGATATAAAATTACCCAACGGCTTAATGATGCCGTTTTAAACATGGGTTTTGTTGTTATCTTTCTTGACCAATCACATTCAAATCCCCCATCGTAAGATTCATTTACAGTATAAATAAGTTCAGGAGGCAACATGCGGCCCTTAATTTCAACAAGTTTCTCTTTTAAGCCCAAATTCCAGTTTTTTAATGATTCCATAGCCTAAAAAATATAATTAAATATGTTAATCCTGAAATGCATTTGTTTAAATTTTTTCAATAAAGAACAATAATATTTTTATTACAAAATATCAAATGAATGCATAACATAATATTATGTTTATATTCTTTATATTTTAAACAATAATTTGACCAAGACAAGTGCCAGAGTTTCCTTTTAGAAAAACTATCAAAGGCATATAGCATTTTTCAATTATTTTGTTTCAATATAAATACCCATAAATTAGTAATTTTAATGATTAATGAATAATTTGTATTGTATGAAGTCATCTAAAAGGAACATATGGGAATACAAATAAATAGTAAGTTTATCAAAAACTTAACGTATGTGGATGATAAGTTATCTCTCTGGTACTATGCATCATTACAAAGAACTATGGATTGGCTTTCTCTAAAATATATTAAATATGGGTTGGAAATGAATGTAAATAAAACAAAATACATGATAATAACCAAAAATCAGTCAGATACCCAACATAATTATAAAAAACTGGTCTTCAACAATACAGCAGTAAAGAGTTTATTAATAGAAATACCTGGGAACATGGATAAATAGTAATGGTGAGACTTCTAAAGGAATAAGGTACAAGGTAAATTTCCAGAACAGGATTTTTTGAAAATGGATAAAATTTTCTTAAATCGCAATCTATCAATAGAATTAAGAACATAAATGTTAAAGTGCTACTTTTTCACATTCAAATATGAAATGGAGGTCTGTACTTTAAAGGAAGCTGATATAAAGAAAATAGAAGCATTCAAGATGTGGTACAGTAGAAGAATCTTGAATATATCATGAGTAGATTGAGTTACAAATTTGGAAGTGCTGTAGAGAATGAAGAAAGATAAGGAAGTAATGTGAAGAATCAAAAAAAGAAAGCTGCAATATTTTGGGCACACAATGAAAGAGAAATACCAAATTCTGCAATTCATATTAGAGAGAAAAATTGTGTGGTAGAAGAAGCAGAGGAACGCCAAGAATAAATTGGTTACAAAATCTTAAGCAATGGTTTGATTTAAACAACAACCAAATACTCAAGACAGCCCAAGATAATATCCATATAGCCAAAATAATCTCCAGCCTCTGAGAGAAAAGGAATGTCAAGAAGAAGAAACTATTATTTAATTTTACATTAAAAATATATTTACCTCAGGAGTAGATTTCATACGTTTATGAAAATTGTAATATCGATTAATTCTATCTCTAGGTCCAATGCGAGTATATTCTGACACAGCTTTCATTGTGGTAAAATTATTTCTGTAATTTACCAATTATATAATTGTTGTTAAATTATTTTTATATTCAACTAATAAATAGAATTTAAATTTAAATTTAAAAAAAAAAAAATGTAAAAAATTATAGAAATTTTTTTTCTTTTGTAACTTTATATTTTATAAAAAAAAAATACCATTTTACCTCATTTCATCTGTAAATCCAGTCATACTACATAATTCAGGAACCAGATATATTAGATCTTCGCTACTTTTATCATCCAATGATTTTAAAGCTCTCTGTTTTTTGGAAACCAACATTGGTTGTTTGCCACCCTTTAATGTAATATTCCATTTCTAAAAAGTTAATAAAATTGAATTCATAATTAATAATCACATTTCTGCTTTGTCAATAGCATAAAACAAAGTTTTTTAGTCATAACATTACACATACCTGTTTGTAATAGTCAACATAGGACATTTTAGATCCATCTTTTTTTTCAAATGTCGATTGAGTATTTGCCTTCTCATCAACATCATCAATTTTGTATGATGCATTATTATAGCGAGTCATGACTGTTTGTCCTATTACTCCAGCTTTAAAGGTTTCCTAGATATATATATATATATATATATATATGTGTAAAGGAAACATGATGTTATTCATAATTATATGTATGTAGTATATTTTTTATTTCAAAAAGTACATTTTTCAATTTGTTATTGCATTAATAAAATCATATACATTTGTATTATCAAAAAAAATACTAACAATTTTTAATTTGTAATAGATTTCATAAAAAGTAAAACAAAAATCAATTTTTCAAATATTATTATTTAATTATTAATTATTTATCATTTGAAAATAAATATCAATAATAACCACCTACATTTCTAAAAATTTTTTTAAAAACAAATATTTTAATTATAAAATTACTTATTTTTAAACATTTCCATTAAATAACTGAAACTGATTTACAAAACAATATAATATTCAATTAAGTCAAAATATAAAAACATTAAATACTTATTATATACTAATTTATTTAATTTTTAATTTATTACTCAAATTTATATTTAATTAAAAAATGATTATAATAACATTGTGTTGATTTTTTTTATATAATAGCAAATTCTTTTTGTTCAGTAATTTTTCTTTTTTTTTTTCATAATAATAAGGCTCATAGATAAAGTTAATTTAAAATAACCAACACCTGATACAAAATACAGTAAGTAATACAATAAGTATGAGATATTCACTAATCAAATATTATTCAAGTACAAATATAATGTGATTACATTAAAATACAATCAAAGAACAGCAGAATGATTTTAGAAAAGTAATTTATGGTTATAGCCAAAATATTACTCACCATCCAACCAGGATTTCTCTTACTATTGTTCAAACATTCCACAAAAAAATCAAAAACTGTTTCTTCACGCATAACCTTTGTTGATATTTCAGTCCTCCATAATAAACCGGAATCAGATAACACAATAGAAGTTTCATATCCAGGCCAAAGTGTAATTTTATGGTTAGGTATCTTAATCTAAACAAAAGAAAAAACTCAGTCAAATAATAATACTAAAGACATCATTTTTGTCATTAATCTGGTTAAGAAATAATCTATGAGGTTATTCATGGAGACTCATGATTTATGGGGATTTAATTAACAGTGAAACTAATTAACCCATGCAAATTTATTTAACCACGGGGATTTATACTATTTTTTAAATGAGAACACACCGAATAATCATTTTATGGGAGATGCGTATTGTTCCGCCGCTGATAAGGATGCGCAATTCTGTGCGTTCTAATATGAAAAATAGTATAGATATCCATGCAGATTGGGGCTTTGACAACTAGTTCTCATGCAATTAAGTATATCTCTGCAGCCATTAAGTTATCATTTAAAACCAATTTTTGAATATATAAGACCTACTTTGGTAAAACAGTATTAATAATAGTTAGGGATGGGTGAATACATAAACCGATACTCAATATTAAATTTTTTTTTGTTTCTTAACTGATAATTGACCAAATATATTTAGAGAAAAATGTCTAGTTTCTGGAGTATAAAAAAGGTATTAGAAAAAATCAGGGTTCCAAGAAATATTTAAGTTAATTTCAATATCAATTCATGATTTTTAAATTTTAAATATTTATACTGAATATTGATATTTTGTGTTGCCAACGTAAATCAAAGTATTGGATATTGATAAAAAGTGTATCAGCCCATTACCATTAATTGTCCCAGCCAGGACTTGATAAACATCGGGACAACGTGCTTAAATCCGAGACCTTAATCTCTAAAAATAAGCATAAAACTACATATATGCTCAACTTAAAGTTAAATGTTTACAGTCGATATTTCTAAAAAAATGTTGTTTATTTTTCAAACAAGGAGCTCTATAATGCTACACATTACCATTAATTTTTGTCAAATTTTTTTGGGTTTTGAAATGATTACCTATCTACTTGATTTTCAAATGGTAATCTATAGTAGACATTTCATAAATAGATGGAGTATTAATTTACATACATTTTGCCATTTAAGTGTTGACGTTTTTGATTTACATTAACTTGGAAACAAAATATTCCATTTTTAGGTGTGGGTATAAGGAGACTGATAAAACACTATTAAAATGCTGCATGCCGTGCAAACCTTACAAATGATAGTCCACTACATCATCTTTATTTAAGCTTAAAGTAGAATATCTTATCAATAAGATTGATTTACAAAATTTGTGTTATTGGTTGCCATTTGAAAATCAAAAGTAGAGAGTCATTCCCCAAAAAAAAATAAGTTTATCAAAATACAGTAAGAATATAACATTTTAGATCCGTTTATTTTTTAAATGGTTAAAAAAACTGATTTATAAAAAGTATACTTTTTTCAAAATATCAAATGTAAACACTTAAATGTTAAAAAAACAACCCTGTACAATAAAAATACATCTTATTGATTAAATTATAACAGCAGTATTATTTATATACAATACTATTAATAAATTTGTCAATCCCAAATTAAACAAAAATATAATATACCTAATAATATTGAAGTTAACAATTACTTGAGCTTTGGCGTCATAAAAATTTCTTCCAATTTGTTGCAGATTTAAACTTCTTAAGCAATTACGCAGTATTAGATTAAAAACTTGAATGTGCGCATAATGGCACGGATCAAGAACTGTGGTGAATGTAATTGTGACCTTTATCATTGTGTCATCATACCGCTTCGAAGTAAGTTCAAATGTCTAAAAACAAATTTAATAAATAATGAATATAAATATATTAATACTAAATAATATTATTAACAAAAAACAAATATCATAATTCTAGAAAATGTTATACATAAAAACAGCATTATTTGCTTTAATTCAGCCAATTTTTTAACATTACTTTTTTGGCATTTTTAATGGTTTTATATATTTTTATATTTACACCAGGGAATCAAAAAGAACCAGTTAAGGGATTAAAACGCAATTAAAATAATGGGAACCAAAAATTAAAATATTTTCAAAGACCAGAATCTTTTAATAAAATAATTGAAAACCAAAACTGTAAAAAGAAAGCAATCTGGAAATTAATTTAAACTTCAGTTTCAAAAAAAAAAACATATAGTAACATATTTATACTGACAATTATAATTATAACAATTAATTTGATTTTATTGATAATTCAAAAGTAAAATTTCCAGCTGAACTAAGTAGGTAGCCAATTTTAATAAAATAAAAATGGAGAAATGGAGATTACTATAGAACATTCCTGAAAATTTAAAACTGTATTCTTTTCAAAAATATACAATAGTATATACCTACCTATAATTTCAACCACAATCTTAGAAAAACTAAGACTGTGATTTTTCTATAAATATTAACCACAGTAGCTTCTGATAACAATAAATTAATTATCACAAGAGATATTAATCAAATTCTAATATAATATATTATGTACTATAGAAGTCATTAACAGGACGCTATATCCACATATACTGTCTCAGACCAACTAACGGGCAATATAGCAAAATTTACCTTTCACAGTTTACATAGAACTTGCTTAATTTTGATTTTAAAGCGAAAGCACTTATTATAAAATTAAAAGAGGACAATATTCCAAAGGACAAGACAATGTGTTTCTTTTTTTAAAATGTTACAATCATTTAAAAATAATATATTAAATAGTAATAATAATAATAATATAATAACAATATATATATATATATTAGTTTTTATTTCTAAACGATGTATTGAAAGTTATATATCCGAAATAATAATTAGAATAATAGAAAAAACGCATAGTCTTGCTTTCTTTTAATTTTATAATAGACACTTTTACTCTAAAACGAAAATTAACAGATTTCTATGCAGACTACGTAAAATAGATTCATACAGTAGGATATAGAAGTAGCTAAATTGACCATTAAATGGACTGATACAGTACATGGTAATATAGCAACCTCGTAAGTTATTTTTTAAAATTTATAATCAAGATACTACAAACCTTCGGTTCATATTTTCTACTGCTAAATAACATTGTTCCATCAAATATATATGCACCCAAACGTTTTTGGTGTGCACCTAATAAACCTTTTCGGACAATGAATCTATCTTCTTCTGGACTGAAATCTACCCGATACTGATAAAGAACCCAATCTGTATATGCACTGATTGGAAAGTAATTTGAAAGTAAAGCCACAGGATTTCCAAATTGTCCTAAAAAATTAATAAAATAAAAATAGGTATCGTATTTTTAATTTTATGTTGTTACATATAATGATTAAATAAATGTTTTAATTATATTAAAAAATTATCTGTTATTACCCAAATTAAGTTAGATATTCATAAAAAAAAAAAAATCAATTACCATATCTTCCAGTCATTAATATTTTTAATAAAATCGTAATTTATATATTATGTACAAAGTTAAATAGAAATTGCACTAGACATTTATAATTCCAAAATGCAATTATTAACCATTTAGGTATTAATATTTGAAAATATGTATCATTTTGTTGAAACCCTATCTGTTCACCAATATTATGCAAAATTTAAAATCTTTGTATATTTGACTAAACTCTAAACTTTTAATTCTTACATTGCACACAAACCCTTTTTCCCATGATTTATACTAAATTACTTGTGAAGAAATTTAAAACTTGTCATCAATTATTGATCAATCCCCCAGTCTAATCAACTTGAAATTTGGCATGTGCTCATATTTTCAATGATAATTCAATAGTCAAAAATAAAATATCAATTTAAAGTATTGAAAAATGTCTCATTCAAAGTTTGTTTGTATGTCCACTACTATAAATAATCCGTGAGCATAATTTCTATTTTCTCAAAAGAGTGAAAAAATGACAACTAGGTAATCTAATTTAAGTATGCTCTATACAACATAAACCAAAAAAATCATATTCAGCAGAGTATTAATTAATGCATCATAATAGTCTTTTTCTTTCTCTTATTTCCAAGATAGCCCAGAAATAGACAAAATTCTAACAATAAAATAAAAGCATGCTGGTGAACTACTGAAAATATTGATAATTTGTTCAAATAAAATATTGCCAAGCAGAAATTCCACATTTGTTAAGATACACTGTGAACAAATTAAAGCATTTGTCAGACAAAAAATTTGAAAAACAATTTTATAGAAAAAGTATTGTTTATTTCGAAACAAATTTCAATTAAAGGATCAAGTGAAAAAACAGAGCAATTTTACTAACACATTTTATCGTAAGATAATAAGAGGCTAATAGTATAATTATGGATGGTAAAAAAATGTTTAAATATATTTTTAGATAAATAATAATTTTTAAAAATATACACAGCATACTTCATATCATGGATCAGACCACTGTTGTAGGGAAAAATTTTGAAGATATAAGAAACAAAGTAATTTAGTTTATATACCGAAAACATAAATAAATTATTACAATAAAAAAAATGATTTTGAGTGAAGCTCAGTAATTTGGTAATAGATGTTAAGTCTATTTTTTTTTTTTTTTTTTACATGTGATCAAGATATCCCAAAAGTTAATAAAAGAAAACTAATTTTTTTTTTAAATTAATTAAATAATCTATTGGGAATACAGAAAAATATTTCAAACAAAGTACCACATGATGAAATTTTGGAGTACTTTTACTAATAAAAAGGGTTGGTCCAAAAAACACCTAGGTCAAAATTAAATCTGCTTTGATTTACACTAGATTTAAAAGCCCAAAACATAAAACAAAAATCTGGTATTTATTTCTAGTTCTTAAGAAATACTACTATTATATGATCTTAGCAACACAAATCACTAAGATTAAAAAGAAAAATCAAATTTAAAAGAGATTAAACTCTCCCTAATTGTGCCAGTATATACGTCTAAATATAATAAGTCATTAATTAAAAAAATCTTGTGCGCATATAAATTGATGCTAAAATTTCTAAATTGACATTTTCAAATTAATTTTTTTTCATTATCAACAGAAATATAGTATAAATCTTCATTCATCATATTAAAGTGCAATTATTAGTATTTTTTATAAAAGTGAATAATTTATATAATTTAATATTTAATACTAAATAGTATTTGTTTATACCATACCTTCCTTTCCTTTTATTCTTGCCTTTTCCGGTTTTACTAATAAGATGTCATTATTCATCATTCCCCGGCCATGCATAGCACCTCTACTGATACTGACTTCTGAGTGACACTCATCTATAAATAACAGGAACATTATTGTATTTAAAACAAGATACTCTGCACATTTTTTTTTTTTATTTTTTATATATATATCACTTTTAGCCAATTATACTCAAAATCAAATGAAATACTTAAACATTTATATTAATAAATTTCACAGTACCTTTAGCAGTTCTTATGTTAAGGACTCCCTGTGTTATTTCTTCAATCTTAAAATTCAAGTTAAAAAAATTAATGATTTTGAATGATTAAATCAGTTTTAAAGTATATTTCTCACATTAGAACTTTCCGTAGTTTGTTTTGTTTGTGTTATAGGAGCCTGTTGTCTAGTGGTTTGTGGTCTTGAAGCCTGAGGTCTTGAGACCTGTTGGCCAAGTCCCTGTGTCTGTGGTCTAGGTCCCTGTGTCTGTGGTCTAGGTCCCTGTGTCTGTGGTCTTGGTCCCTGTGTCTGTGGTCTAGGTCCCTGTGTCTGTGGTCTAGGTCCCTGTGTCTGTGGTCTAGGTGGACTTTGGTTCTCTGATGGAGCACCACCACGACCACGGGCCCTTCCTCGAGAAGATCTTGATGGAGGATTTGAAGCCATGCTACTTTACTACTTTACTTGAATACTCACCTTAAACATAATTCAAATTTATTGATAAACATAAAATTTAAATTTAATATCAAGGCAATTCAATAACAATGTAACTCATTAATGTGATATTACTTTAATGTGGATATAGCTATGAGAACTTAGATTTCTTTAGTCCTCATCCTCAATGTGGTTTTTTGACATACCTACATATTCTGTAGCATTACAACTTACTGTTAAATCTCACTAAATTAACTAAGGTTAAATTGTTTTTGTTATTATTTAATGACACTAAGTTTTTTTTTTTTTTTTGGTCATTCAAATTAAATAATTAAATCATTTGTATTTGTATGATGTGTATTAATATTAATAAAAAAAAAAAAAAAATTTGGTACTAAAATGTACACAAAATACTGTGCAATAATAATAATTATTGTATACTTGTAGAATTCAAGTAAACCTATTTATTATTGTCCTATACCCACCTGTAGCCATACTATTTTAAAAAACTATTACAATGTTTTGTGGGTGCGTCAAAAAAATAAAATAAAAATCTTAATAAAACTAATAGCTCAGTATCGCTAGCGCTCGAAATCTAAAATACGATAATTCATAATATTGCCTATTACACTATATTTGAATAATCGATTACCTTCATTGAAAATCCGCGATGTAACGATTGTAACGACGATTCTCAAAATCAGCAATGGGAACCGTAACAAACAACCGCCAGCAGAATACTGAGAGCTACAGCGTTTGATCCACTCGGTGTTCGTACCCAAGCCACGCGGGCATATGATCGGTCTGTTCGCCTGCGCAGTGCTCAGTGCGCAGGATAAGCGCTATTCACACCGCACGTCTGTACACCGCCGTGGCGCCGTACATGAAATTTGGAAGGGAAACCTACCACCAAATATTACTACGGTTGCGCGCACGTACAATAATAATGGTATAGAAAAAAAAAAAAAAAAACGGAACGAAAATCGTAATAACGTGCCGCACATTACGCCTAATCGGATATTTTTTTGGTTTGGTAAGACATTCTTAAACTACAAAGGCGCCATAAATTTTGGAAACGCCGGAGTCCGATTTGCCGACTCGGTATTTCAACGGACAATGCGCAGCGAACCATATTATTATTATTTCGTTCGTGTTCGCCCGGAACACAGAAATTGTCTTTGTAGGTTTTCGCAGTAAAGCGATCATCTGATCATCTGCGTTTAAAATTTGTAAACGACCATTTATTACTGTACAAGACGGTTGTTATTGGAAGAAAAACATATTTAAAAGTGCAAAACCTACGACCATACGATCCTTCGACAAAAGGTTGAATATTCAGAGAATATTTTCGTAAAACGCCAACGCGTGGTCGCAATAAAAACGCTATCGTCTTCAACAAATACAACACCTACCTATAATTGGTGTTTTATAACGCGATATTTAGAAAAAAAAAAAAAAAACAAAACATTTTACGAATATATTTCGTAAACGCAATACCTAGTAGGTATGTTTAGGTATTGGCCACAGAAAAATCAGCTGTCATTACATTTTAATACCTATGCATAACAGGGATGGTGAATTTCGTCATATTTGAGAAAATTAAAAATTTACCCATCTCCAAATTTATATTAATGTTAAAATTATGACCCACCCATTTATTATTATACAATTGGAACATGTATAATTATTACGATTTTGAAAAAAATTTTATTGCGGCTTTTGACAGGAGGTTTCCCGACCTTTTTAACAATAGGTGAGTGCGGATATTTTCGAAATGTCACGGATCGCCTCGATTTCAGGGAGACTTTTTTTTGTTTATTAACAAGTGTAACGGGCCTAACGCAGAAATAGGACTCGGATGAGAAAAATGAATAAATCAATTAAAACTCCAACTCGAGTTTACAAATAATTGATATTTCACTCAAAAATATTTCAAGTCCAAATAATTCACAAGTAAATACAAGTCCAAATAACAAATATTAGAGTGACGCGAAATTGCTTGCATTCGATCGTGGTGGACTCGTCTGGTTTGACGGTGATTCGGGCGGCGTTATAAATGCTCGGATGGACCCCCCCCCTCCCCAAACCCGTCGTTCATAGTCGCGGCTATTCATATTATTAATTCTATGTATTATCTACATTCTGTATACATCCTGAAAGTAATTGTATCCACTTTTACTCGTCGGCTGGTGTGTGAAAAATATACGAAAAAATGTGTGTTTAGTCATCATTTCATGGTTAGGTAATAGATTTTAGGCCTGGGCTGTGCCCCTCGGATATCCACACAATACAAGTCGAAGCTCCCCCGGCATCAAATTGACTCCTATCACGCCGGATACCTATTCGTCCAGGTTCGGTTTCGGTTCACACGCTGAGTAGTCCTGTCAATCGACTATGGCTCTCCCATACACATACATAACATATATAATAAGCGTGTGGGCACGTTACACAAGTACTGATTTTCTTTTTTTGAAAGATTTACTAGATTACTGGTTTTTCTATCATAATTTATAACAAACAAATGATATTTTTTTGAGTTTACAGGCTTTCCTTAACACGTTTCAAATTTCCACGATGAATACTGTTACTCAAAACATTTGCCAGTTTGTCAATCGAACAATTTTCTGTGAACAACTTTTCTACCAGAAATTTTGTTCCAATTTTCAAGTATAGCAGCTTTTCTGAAAGAAAATCTGATTCCAATGGTATTTTAGAAAGGTTATTTATTTTTTTTGATTTTCCCAAGAATTTTCATAATAAATGAGAAAAACAGGGAAAAAATTTGGCAAACACGGGAAAATTTACCAAATGTATTATTTTCAAATCGTTAATATTATACGGTCCTTCAAAAAATGTATAACCGAACTCCGCTCAGAATCGTTTTTCATTAGAAATAATTAATCGTTGTGTACTGCAGATAAACATACAATTTCCTTTCTACCTTCCTAAATTCTTACCTACTTGCCCCGCTCATCGTGTGAAGTATGTCCGTGTCTTTTTTATTTTGCTCTCCATGAGAAAATATTCCCTTACTTAGTACCTACTTAAATACCTATTGACCTATCTATTTAAATATTTATAGCAAATATCTATTTTTCACAAATCCTTTGCGGCTTTCATTTATCGACCGTTAACCGTTTTTTATTCAGTGTAGTTCCCGGACATATTCATGTCGGCCACCACTGGCTATAATATAATATTTCCTTTTTTTTTCTTTTTTCAGTATTTTAAACGTTCCAATAAACTAGTCTGAATCATGAATATAATATTATATACTATTTTGAATTATTATAATCTTAAAGTATTGTGTAAAACTGTTCATTGTGTGTTTATATTATGAAAAAGAGAAGTTGGTGTCATTAGTGACCTAATACAAACATTGCCGTATTGGTACGTAGTATTATAATATTGTGACCGGCCAAACGTAAGGATGTAGACTTAGAGGAAAAACTTTGAAACAAATTAAGCTCCAACTTGAGTTACACAAATAATTAATATTTCCGCACAAAAACATTACAAGTTCAATACTAAATTTTCACAAAATGTACTATGTCAAATTAATTTAAACAACAAAAAGACGTCCTAGGATAATGAAGACGGGTATAGTCACTGTTATAGGTAGTTTAATGTATATCTGTAAACAACAATAAACCATTGCTAACGAAAAAACGATTCACAGCGCAGTTGAGTTGATAGTGATGCTTTGTCAACAATTAATGTGTCATATTATGGTAAAATAATTAAATAGGCGTTATGTATTTTTTTTTTTTTTAAAGTCGCGTGCGTCTTTGTGTATTAAAGGTAACATACGTGTGTAAATATAATCTCGGCCAGCTGGCCACTATTTGGAATGGAACAGAGACGATATAATGTTACGATATTACCATCCCGACTTCCCATCTACAACAGTATGGCATGTCCATCCAGTGTTTATTCCAGACCCTCATCCCGGAGGTTGTCGTAAATTTTCAAGGAATACAATAAGATAAAAGGAAATAATGGAGAGAAGTAAAAATAAATCTAAATTGCAAACAAAATAATTTTTATATTGATATGAAAATATTAAATTACATTGATGTTAGATAGATATTTATTTTAGATATCTATGAATACATATGTACATTCTTTAAAAAAAAAAATAAAATCAATTTTAGTAAATTCTTTATATTAAAAAAAATCCTATTTAAATTTAGTAATATTATTAATTATACTACATAAATTATAGATTATTATTTATTGGTAAGCTTAATAATAATATAGGTATACGTTAGTTAATCAGATAAACTAAATTTAAACGAATGCGGCGCTGCTTTTGACGTACATACAAATCAAGTTACTTATATATCATATTAAATCCTTTATCATAATATTTATTTTATTTTATCATTTGTTGATGTAATAAGTCTTAAATTTTTCTCGGGGGAGGGTTTTACCCCTCCCCCTCTCCGATCACCCCTCTCTAATAAACACCATGTTCATTGACAGTATCTTCTTCGGCGTGCTTGTAAAAAGTTTTTCTACCAGAAATATTGCTACGATCTTCAACTTAAGGGGGTTGTTAATTTAGGTAGCAAGTTTTATCTGGCTGGTGCATTAGAAAGGTCATTTTTTGATTTTTCTTGATAATGCAGAATAAGCGGTGAAAAAATCGTTAAAACGGGTATATTTACGCGAAAATGGATTTTGTTAGTTTGTCGTTCCGTTGTAAGATTTTTTTGTTTACATTTTCGTGCTGTCAGTAAATTTTTATTGAATTTGAATTTTTTGTGTGTACAGTTTTGATTAACGCAAAACCGCCACGTCGTACAAAGTGTGATTTATTCATGTCATACGTTATTGTAACGCCATAACAATTCTGTGAATCGTTGTAAACACAAATATTAATACAACCATGGTATATGAATTTATTCATGTGATTTAAGAATCACTTTCAAGAAATAGATTTTTTTTTTTATTAACTTTATCGACCTTTTAATTTAATTTATCGCCGCGGCGCAAAAATATACATGTATATAATATTAGCTATTGCTTATTATATTAATATTTCGATTGTGTTTTTTTTTTTTTTTTATTTTTGTCATACATCTGTGACTTCGGATCATCATCCGAATGACTAACAAAATATTATTACGTTTTGAAGAGAAACGACAAATTCGGAAACAACTGCTGTATAGACAACGTTTTCGGGGCGGCGCGCCCCCTCGCACACGTTTCAATAGCTCCGGGCCGCACCGAGACATGCCGATCCTAATAAATAACAATTGTATCGACCAGGGATCGCTGTATAGTTACATAACGAATATTTTTATCTTATACCCAACATTATATTACAGTGACGAGCATCATTGAACCAAACCTAAACAATTTACGACCATTGTAAAACCAATACATTCCTCGCTCCGTTCAGAATCTAAAATGTTAAATGGGTAATGAAATCGTTTCACCGTACATTAAATACGACTTATAACGAACCTCCTATGTTGAATTTCCGAACATTTCTGTTTGCTTGAACAATTTTATCAAAAAGAGCATATAGATGAAATACACCGTATTAGGTCTGGGGCACGCTTTTTAAACCTAGCCGATTTATTTGATTGTATATTATAAAATATACATAATAGAGTGGTTATCTAAATTTATAATTTTATCTTATCCAAAATAATGGATTATTCGTAATAATTACACATGTATAGAAAATGAGTACCGAATTATTAATTATTCGTTATAAATC